CTGAGTCCCTACTCAGATAGCTACAGAATTGGAGAACTAGTGTGTATGCCCTGGAGCTATGGCAACAAGCAAGACAGACATGGTGCCTGCTGACATGGATCTTATGTCTTAATGGGAGGGACAGTCACACAACAATGATAAAATAGAATAATTGCATATTGTGATGAATGCTAATAAAACAACGATAGAGATAGTGAGGGGCAGGGGTTGGGGAGACTCTCTGGGGAAGTGACATTCAAATTAAGACGTAAAGGATGCAGCCAGCCATAGGAGAAGCGGGTGGAACAGCATTTCAGGCAGAAGGAACTGCAAATGCAAAGACCTCAAGGTCGGAAGAACTTTGGCTTATCTGAGAAACTTCCGGACGAATAACAGAGGAAAAGAGATGGCAGGGGCACTATCAGAATGCACTGGGAAACTGGTGAGGGGCTTCAGGGGGGCTGTGGCCTGGTCTGGTTTGTACAGATGCTCCCTAGAGAAAGTGTTTAGGGACTGGCTCGGAGGCCAGTGAAGCACTTCAGGCAAATGAAGCTGGTGGCCTGGTCTGGGCTGCTGGCCATAGGAAATGAACAGATTCTAATGACCTATTGGAAGTAGAAGAAAGTGCTTTAATGATGGGTCAGCTTGAAGCAGGGGGCGAGGAAGGGAGAATTAAGGGTGGTAGAGGTTGCACCGTTTATGGGCTCAGTTGTCAGAGAAGATTTTAACTTGTCACCTTGGTCAGCAATGTCTCTAGAGCATTCCAAGCAAAGAGCTGAATGTTGCTATCTGGAACACAGAGGAGAGGTCTCACGTACAAGTGTAAAATTAAGAGTTATCAACATGCAATTTTAAATATCTGGGGGTAAGTTTGGGTATGGGAAAGAATGTTACAGTTACTGACTCAAGATGCCCATTTTTAAACCAGGCTTTTCTTTAAGTTCAACTTATAAATCTTATTATTCTATAAATCTAGTAACTTTCCATATGAAAATGAGAATAACCACTTTTACTTGTTCTTTGATTACTGTTGAATAAATTCTTAAGTTTGGTGGATTCCATCCTCCTTCAACATTTAAGACTTACAGCCTTAATTAATCAAATTTCCTTAGACATTTCAGACTAGTTACAAATTTATTGTACCTGATTTTCTCAAACACTTTAAATGTCTAACAAATGACTTACAAATCTAAAAAGCAACATCTTTCTAAGCACTTAGGCAACTACTATAAATTAATTATCTAGACTTATAAATGTAGCAAATCAGATTCTCTTGGCCATTTCAAGAATCTTAAATCCATCACAAAGCAGAACAAGGGTCACAGAAGCTTCTCTCCTGTATTCGTTTCTTCTTTATCTGAATATTTATATTTCCTTTCTGGAGTTACAGGTTTACTCCACCAGCAAAGAGATCAGATTTGTTTCCAAATACTGCTAATTGGAACCAATCTTCATAATAAACTGGGGAAAGCTTGTAATAAAACATTCCTTGAGGACTTCAAAATTGCACATAAAGAATAGCTTAAAAGCATGTGTCCCTGCTCCCCCAAAATATAGAGAGGCTGCGGGTATCAGGCTGGGTCCAGTCAGGAGAAACCACATAATAATTTGGACCGGCAAAGAGTGATATAAAAAGGTACTAACTATAACGGGACCATAGTAATGAGGCATTGCCTAGTAAGAAGTAAAGAGAACTCTAAGGAATACAGGCATAGCATACAAGGAGAAGCCAATACCCCCCAGGCTGAGATAGAACACCAGAAGAAAAGGGACCCTGTCCCCCTCCCAAACCTGCCCCAGGAGTATTGCCAGGGGAAGCTGGTGCTAAAGAAGCTGCAGGTAGTGCAGTAGCCTGGTGCTAGATGCAAATGCTGTCTGAAAAAATATCTAAGTGTAAAAATGTAGAGCTCGTCCCCATACTAATCAACCTTGGAACCAACATCACCCACTGACTTGTACAGATACCCAGCTGTATATTCCTTTGTATATGTCTGAGCTCCCCTGCAAGAAAAGATTCTCTTTTAAGACAAGGATTGTTTCATCCTCTTCTGTAGCCAACCTTGAAATGAGTATACATAATATGGTCAATAGCTTACTTTAAATTTCTTTTTCTTTTTTTCTTTATTGATTTTAAAGAGAATGGAAGGGAGAGGGAGAGAGAGATAGAAACACTGATGAGAGAGAACATCGATTGGCTGCCTCCTGCATGCCCACCACTGGGGATCAGGCCCTCTGTCCTAACCAGGGGTGGAACCAGAGACCTCTTGGTGCATGGGTCAACGCTCAACCACTGAACCACACTGGCCAGGCTCAGTAGCTTAGTTTTAAATATATGAACTCTGAGGGAGCACGCCTATTAAACTGTGCTTTTTTCCCACTCATTTATTATTCTAATTTTTTCCTACTGTAAAAACAATAAATATGTATTGGGAAAATGCAAAGGTAGTACAAAAAAAGATATATATCAACCATATTTCTACTACCCAGAAATAACCACTATTAGTACTTTGGTGTATTTCCTATGTACAAATAGTTTTTCTTTTTTCTTGTTTCTTAAAACATAGATGTACATACATTATATCTCATGAGCAGTTTTATAGCCATAACGCATTTCTCCAACTCATCAACTCTTTGTTGAAGAGTCACTGCTGAATTGTTAGATGGAGGAAATGCTTACATTGATGTTGAAACTACCTTAAATGTTGAAAACATCATAAATGACTGCAAAATAGCTCATTCTGAAGATTTCAGATAGTTTACTTAACTACTTCCCTTGTGGAAGTTCTAGGGTATTTTTCCTATTATAAATAATCCCATAACGAACAATGTTGCATTTAAATTTTTCTCTGGTAGGCCGGTTTCCTATAATGGCTGTCCCACATGTGAAATTGCTACTAGAGGGTACAAATACATTTAAGGCCACTGAGGAAAATTTAAGATCACAGGGCATCTGCTTCTAAACAGGGAAACTAGTAGCTTTCCCTTTCTCAACAGGATAGAACTGGAAGCCTCTCCAATGCCAACTAGTGCTACCCAAGTAGGTACATGTGTGCTGACACGTTCATAACCCCATAATTGATGATTAGAGAATTATTGTGCTGACTTGTTTATAGCTCCATAATTGATGATTGGGAAAGTCACTGTGTGCCCTCTAGCTGAACCTGTTTTGTAAAGAATTTAATCAACAGGTTAGAGATGAAAATAAATTGGAATACTCCCTGAACCAAGAAATTGTTGGGAGCCAGCTACGTGTCTGACAGAGTCCACTGAGCCTGGAGGTCTTGAGTCAGAGACTGGGCCTCCTCCACAATCTCAAGGAATTAGACTTGCATTGTGTTTGTGCAGCACACAAGGTACATTGTGTGATCCAATGTACCTTAAAATATCTGGGTGTGCCTGGGTGTGCCTGGGTGTTCCTGTTATCTGCAAGGCAAACTAATTCTATACAGCATTGTTGTAGCCCTGGGCATTATATGAAGAAGATCCTATTTTCTTATATCATTAAACTTTTGCTGTAAGATATAAAAGGCATGTAATAAAGCTTGTGGAGGCTGATCTGTGAAGACTCTGTCACAGGGCTGTTCAGAATCAGACACCAGCCGGCTAATAAACAGCTCTTATTTGGACTTCAGTTCTTTAGTGGTCTTTCTTTGACTCTGTCACATGGGCTCACCCAACACTCCCTGACCCCTCCATGTCCCTCCCCCCACCAAGAAAATGTTACCCAGCCCTAAATGATTGCATGACCTCAGGACCCTAGCTAGCCATTTGAGGCCTTCCACCCTCACTGGTCCCCAAGCTGCCCAGTGGAGAAGTGGCCTGATTGGGGTGCTAGACTACAGATTTCCCTATCGGCCCTTCTGGGTATGTGTGACACCCTAGGCACCGAACTCCAAGCTCAGGGGGTTGGCAGGGCACTGTCACCTCGAAGGTGGACCGGGAAGCTTAAAGCAACAGAAGCTGCAGTTTACAGAGCTCCAGGGTGATTCCAAGACAACCGAAAGCCCTCCCCCACGCCGAGGCTGGCCCTTAATCCTCCGCTCCCAGCATTTTCTCTTTTCTTCCCGCATTTCACCTTGTCCAACCTCCAGACCTTGTCCCGACTTCCGATTCTTCTCAGTAGAGGGATCGGCCAAACTCCCGGGGGTCTCCTTTCTCCCTCCCCTTCTCTCCGCGCGGACCAAGCCGGTCCCCGTCTCCACAGACTAGGGTCTCCGCCACCCTCGAGCATCCTACTACCTTGCAAGACCCGCCATCAGACCTCCACCATCTCCTGTGCGCTTCTTTTCCTGTTTCTCTCCGAGTTTGTCCTCTGTCTTTCCCGCCATGCTGGCTTTCTGTCCAGTTTCACCCACCCTGCCTCCCACCGGTCTGCGGGTCCTCGGGCCCTGGTCCTTCTGTTCTACCCAGTCGGTCCCTCTCCTGACAGTACCTCTATCCCCTTTGGGTCCCCCTCATAGGCCACTCCCCAAGTCAGTCCCTCTGCGCCCCCGCCCACGTCTGTACTTCTGTCCATCCCCGAATGAGATCCTCCGTTCCTGGAGTCTGGCCTTCCGTTCAGCCAGGTCCCTGGTCACCATCTCTCCCAGGGCTGGCACCGTCAGCGGCCCCGTCCCCCTCCCTCAGCCTGGGAACTCTCCCCTCTTCCACTTTCTCTACTTTGAACCCATCCCAGCAGAGTCCAGGAAGTAGCCAGGCGCCGGGGATCGGCGGCTATGAAGCCCAATGGGGAGCGCCAGCGGCGGCAGCGGCCCCGCCCAGAGAGCAAATGCTGCCAATGGCCGAGTGGAGGCGGGACTTCCGCTGTCCCGGGGAGGGCGGGGGGAGCGAACTGTTGTGGTGCGGCGCGTTGGGCGGGCGGCGGCCGGGCGGCCCTGAGGCTGCCGCGGGACTCGGGGCGCAGCCGAGTGGCTGCAGAGGTGGGGCGGGCCGGACGTGCTGCGGGGCCCGAGCGCCGCGGGTTCGAGGCCGGGCCCCGCGCGGGGAGGCCGCGCCACCCCCGGGGAGCTGCCCGGCAGCGAGTTTGCCCAGCAGCCGAAAGAAGGCGGGAGCCGGCGGGGGCCCTCGAAACCCTCTGGCAACCCGGGCCCGGAGTCCCCGGGGAGCTGCCCATTCCTGGGACGCTGTCCCGAACGCCCCCGCCGAAGGGTAACAGTTCCGGGCCCCCGGCAGGAGGAGCCTCCAGGTGACCCCCGGCGGGGCCCTGCGAGCCGCGGGAGTCAACCCCGGGGCCTGGAGCCGGGAGGAAGGGGCTTTCCGGAGACGCGGGGCCGGGGGCCGTAGGATCGGAGCGCGGCGGAGCGGAGCCGGGCCTCCTGGGCACGGGGCAAGGCAGCGCCTGCTCTGGAGACGGACTCTGGGACCCTCGGGTGCGGGGGCCTCAGCCACTGCCCCGCGGGGAGCGCGGCCGCGGAGTGGCCTACAGGGGAGCCTGCCCCGGAGAGGCCGTCCCGGGACGGGGAGATGAACGGCTTCAGCACGGAGGAGGACAGCCGCGAAGGGCCCCCCGCCGCCCCCGCCGCCGCCCCGGGCTACGGCCAGAGCTGCTGCCTCATCGAGGACGGCGAGCGCTGCGTCCGGCCGGCGGGCAACGCCTCCTTCAGCAAGAGGGTCCAGAAGAGCATCTCGCAGAAGAAACTCAAGCTGGACATCGACAAGAGCGTGAGTGCCCCCGTTCCCGGCCGGTCCCCGCGCCCGGCCGCTGCTCCCGAACTACGGGCGGACCCGGGGGCCCTCCCGGTCCTGGGCCTCGCCGAGGAGTGGGACCCGGGATTTCAAAGGCCGCTTCAGCGCTGACCTGCTCTCACTAGGAGTCTGCCCAAATCCCGGAGGTTAGGCGAGGGGCTCCGAGGACCCTTCCTGCCTGGGAAGATGACAAGTTTTTAGCTCGTTTTTTTTGGTTTAGCTATGGGAGCAGGGAGAGGAGGGTTCATTGCGTTGGCCCACGAAGGAGCAAGTATTGGGGAGGTGGTGATGAAGGCACCGGCTCTTCTCCAACTTCTCAGAGCCCTGTTATTCCTTCAGAAAAGGAGAGGTGGCAGTTACTTCCCTCTGCCGCAGCCTCAGCGTCTGCAAAGGGTCACCGAGCTCACTGCTCCGCAGGCAGCTGTAGGGAAACGGGGTTTTCTAGTATGTAGAGAAATAAGGCCAAGACCAGGTCTTGGGAGGCGGTTCTTGCAGTCGAAGTGACTGGGAGGAAGAAAACCCATTTTCTTAGGGGTAACTTCTTTAGAAATGACCAGTAGGAGCAGGTTTTAAACTTGAAGAGAATTGCCCTGTGTTTTGAGCCTAACTATAGGAAAACTTTTCCTGTGATTTCACTTCTTCTAGTTAACAACTCTAAAGATGTGCCTGTTGTCAGTCAATTAGAAACATTTTAGTTTGACATCTGATGCTGCAGCCTCTTGATTAAGAATTGGAAATGAGTTAAGGGGGTATTTAATATTAAAGTAGACCAGTTAACATCCATTCTCTTTTAGGGCCAAAATGTGTCCTGTTTGGGGGAAATCAGAGATTGCTTTTGTTAAACTGAAAGGACTCCCACTTTTCCACTTCGGATTTTACAGTTGAAATTGAGGCTCAGAGATAGGCAGTGGCAAAGTCACATAGCACCTAACAGGCTGGGTAGTTTTTTAACCCCACTATCTGATTTACTTCCAAGCCCCAGGCATAAGCCTTTATTAAGTCTTTAATAAATTAAAAATTGGCCCCATCCTTTTTTCTAGGCTCTTCCCTCCCACCCCCCTTTTTTTTTTTAAGTTCATTTTAATACATTTACAACTCTTGAATGGAAAGATGCTATTTTCAAATGGTTGGGTAGGTTAATGGTTTTCTTATTACAAACCTCTATGAATGAATGAATGAATGAGAGCAAACAACTGGCTAGACACTAAGGTAGTATGGATTAAGTCACATGTTGAAGTGAAATGCTTAATTCTAAGACAGCAATGAATGCAGTTTCTTGAAAACACTGCCTACCTTCTGTGTAGGTTGGGAACCTCTACTTGAGCAGCTTATGATAATAGTATTTTCCAGTTCTTTAAAAATAGAAATTTCCAGTTCTTATAAACCTGTGGGTGCTGTCACATCTGAATGATTGTGCTGCTGTAATTGGGGCTCCATTTACCAGTGACCCCACTGGAAAAACCTGTGTTGAGCCAAGTTGATTGTTTCACACACACTGTCTGGAAGAGAAGCAGCCTAAGCCTGGCACAGGAGTTCTCAAAAGGTAATCTTCTGAAGGAGTAGGGTTTCGAGGAAGAATCGCTCAGTTTGTTTCAAGGTGGTGTTGTAGAGTCATTATTTCTGAAAGGGATTCTATTTCATTCTCACAGGCTTGGGCAGGAATTCAATTCTAAGGAACTGCTGCGTTACAAGAATTTTTAGCTGTTGTAGAAAATGAAGCAAGAAAAATAAACACTAGAGCCCTTGCTACTACCACCCTCCTTCCTCTACCCCATGCCACCCCCAACAAGGCCACTGAGCTCTGAAATTTCTGTAAACCAGTATGTGCTTGAAAATGGTTAAGTAGAAATAATGACCACCTTGTAAACCGGTCTAGTAGAGAGGTGTTTTTTTTTTTTAAATCCTCACCTAAGGATATTTTCCCATTTATCTTCAGATAGAGTGGGAGAGAAGGAGGGAGAGAGAGAGAGAGGTCACATCAATTGGTTACCTCCCACAGGACCCTGACCCGGCCCCAAACCATAACCTAGGTACATGCTCTTGACTGGAACTGAACCTTCCATTCTTCTGTCCACAGCCAACATTCTAACTGCTGAGCCAAACTGGCCAGGGCAGACAGACTTTTTTTATTTTTTATTTTTTAAAATTCTCAACCAAGGATATTTTTCCATATCGATGTGAAAGAGACACATCAGCTGGCTGCCTCCCGCATGACCCAACCAGGGCCAGGGATGAACTGCAACCGAGGTATGTGCCCTTGACTGGAATCAAACCCCCAACTCATTGGTCTGCAGGCTGACGCTTTAACCGCTGAGCCAAACCAGCCAGGGCTAGAGAGACTTTTTAAATAACAGCACCAGAAATCCAACTTGGGCAGTTTAACTCGTTTCATGTAGACATTGGCAGTGTTCTGTAAATTTTTTTTTAAGATATAACATGCTTTCAAACAGTCTTCCAATTGACATATTTCAGCTTTTTTTCTGGAGAAAAGTGGAAGTTGAGAACAGGAAAATGTTGGGGGAGGAAAGGACATGTGTCAGGGCTCAAAAGGCCTGAGTGAGCTTGCCCAGGTCATTGCCCTACTGTGTGGCTTCAGTTCATACCTCTAGAAAATGATTTTAGGGCCAGTGAGGTTGTACTGGTGATTGCTAAGTTTTCTTCCACCTAACATGCCATATTCTAGTGTCTTCACCTGAAACCTAGCCACAGCTTTAGGAAGTCACCTCTTCTCCCTGTTCTCCTACCAAGTCTGTTACTGTGAATTTGAGGAGCACTTCGGCCCCTCAGGGTTTTCTTGTGGAGGTGGCCCTGACGGGCAGCTTCCTGTCAGGGGAGCAGAGTGTGCTGTGAGTGTGCCCTCTTCCCTGATAAAGGCACGGCCAGTAGTGAATACGTCAACTGGGCTGGATCCTTGGGGGCAGTGACGCAGTGCTGTGTCTGAACCGTTGTTTTCTCCATGAAAAGGCCTGAATTGATTGATTCCTATCAGCTAACTTTCTTCTTGAAGAAAAAAAGGAATAAACGCAAATTCAGAAGCCTCTGGAGAACATTTGTGCAACATCTGTTTCAGTGTCAACAGCCCCAAGGCATTTACACAGGCATTCAGTTTCTGTTAGGTTTTTGAATGGCTCCTCCAGTCAACCCTGGACCAACATTCTTAAATAAAAACATATTCTTCACATCTCGGCTGCTGTTGCTGCCTTCACTTACTATTCTGTCTCCAACCTGTATTAGAAAACCAGCAGTAGTATGCAGCTTCTTCTGTGTGGTTCCCCCTTGTGAGAGTTTCTGCCTCTCTCGGCTTCTCTTTGTGGATCAGGTATGAGGTAATGCAATAAATAGAAATTGATGCTCAGAAATAAAGTATTTCAGAGAGTTGTCATCCTCCTACAGTACCTGTTATCAATGTAAAAATGTGTGTCCCATATACCATGACCACAGGTCCCTTTCCTGGTTTTCTAAGTTCACAATGCCTACAGGTCTGAAATGTCATGTCACTCCCAGCTTCCAAAACCTTGGCAGACTGTCTTGTCTGAAGGAAAGTCAAAACTGTTCTGATGTGCACCCCGCCCCCATTTCTCCTTATGCCCCTACATGGGCACCTCCACCTAATACTGCCTGCTCTGGAACTCCTTCACTCACGTCGTCCTTTCGTCTTCATCTGAAACTCTAAGTCTTGGCTCTTCTTTGCACCTGGATGCTTCTTGTCTACCTGCAAATTCTTCTTTCTAGTAAAGGACCTCCCCACAACCATCTCTGCTGTGGGGTCTCTCCTTGCTGAGTCTGGACCATTGGCTTTCAGTGGGGACTTGGTTTCTAATACACTCCCAATGTGATGGCTGGTGTTCTCTTTGTGGGTGTCTTGTTCTGCTGCTCAGTAGTGAACTTCTGAAATTATGGCCTGCACTTTGCTTTTCCTCCTCACTCTCCAGTGCCTTGAAAAGGAGAGAAGCCCATTAATTTGACAGATGCTGTTTCCATGGAATTGGCAACTCTGACTTTAATTTGCTTTCCATCAGGTAAGGCACCTGTATATCTGCGACTTCCACAAAAATTTCATCCAAAGTGTACGAAATAAAAGGAAGAGGAAGACAAGTGACGATGGTGGAGATTCTCCTGAGCACGACACTGACATTCCTGAGGTAACAGTCAAAAAAGTCAGCTTGAGAAAGCTGAAAGCAGGGTTCTAATCTGGTCCTTACCTCTAGCCTGGTCTGCTTTTTTGTGCTAAGAAGTCATTTTAGTGCCTTTGTTTTGCTGTGGTTTACTTGAAAAGTGGATCACAGAAGCTGAGTGGTATTGAATCTGAGAGCTGAATGCTTAGAAACCGACTGGCCTGGCTGCCCCGTCATCTTACAGACAGGCACGGGGACCCGAGGTCACACAGGCAGTTTGGGGGCTCTAGTCCAGTGCCCTTTTCAGTAGGCCGTGCTGCCTTTCTTCAAGGAAACCCTGGCAAATGGTTAAATATAACCACAGTGTCAAGTTTTTTAAAACTTTGCTTTTGTCTTTATAGTTGGGAGACTGAGTTTGTATGTTTCGGAGAAAGTCACTTCCCCTCTGTTTTCTAGGCTGCAAAATGAAGGTGTAAGTTGTCAGTTCATACCAGCTCTGATTTTCTATCACTCTCCCATTTCTGGTCCATGCTTATTCCCAAGGATCCATTCCAAAGTCAGTTATACTGAATCAAGGGTTCTTAACCCTGGCATTATTGACATTTGGGACCTGATAATTCTTTGTTGTGGGGGCTGTCCTGTGAATTGTAGGATGTTTAGCAGCATCCTCATGTTGTATCCATTGGACGCTAGTCACCTCTCCTTGAGTCACGACGATCAAAAAATGTCTGCAGACATTGCCAATGTCCTCACCGGGGTTGGGGGTGGGGAGGCAAAATTGTCCCATGTTAAGAACCAGTGGACTAGATGACGAGACCTAGGCTTCTCATACCAGAAGCCCACCTTTCCTTCAAGTTGACAGTGTCCATTAAACAAGGCTACAGGAAGGAATATTGGATTTTTTCCTGCTTAAATTGTTTTCACTTAAGACTCAGCAAAGAGGAACCGTTTATAGTGTACACTGAATATTTGATGCATGAATATTTCATAAGGCAACTGCCTGTTAGCACTCAGTGAAAATGACTGTAGGAATAGAAAGAGTAGGCAGGCTTTTGTCTGCAGATGAGGAAACCTTTGAAAATATAGTCCTTTCCCTCCGTCCTTCACTATGTCCCCTTTTTTAGCATTGGTTTAATGTAGCTTTCAGTTGCCTTTAGCATTATTTTATTTTATAAAGAAATGAATGTATTCAATTTCTAAATGATTTTCAAACAAAAAAGAAAAAAGGTTTGAGGAATGTTTTGAAAAGAATGAAGGACTTTGGTCCCTCATATTGATCATTCATTTTGTTTTTAAGTGCTCTCCACCTGCCTGAAGCAAGAACATCTCTTTTAGAGGCAGGTAAAGGCAGCCCAACTTTCTGGGCCTTCACTGTTTCATGACTGTGCAGCTTTCCTCTCTTCCTATGTTAGAAGAAAAAGGGGGGGGGTCCTTTCCCCTCTGTTATCCACTCATCTGCAGAGACCCTGACCCTAACCTGCTGATTTGTACACTCGCCACAGTAGCTTTTGAGCTTTCTCTGGAGGGTTGTTAAGGATTCTAACACCTGAAGGTTGAGCTTAGGAACAAAAACTATTTGAGAACAACAGTACTTCCCACTGTTCTTCACACCCCTCTATCCGTCTGCTGCCAAGCTCTGGCCTGTCTTCCCTCAGGATGTCTGTCACTTTACCTTTGCTATCCATGCCTGGTGTCCCCCTCTAAAATCACCACCCCTCCAAAGCTTCACTTCATCATCTCACTTCGGATCATTGCTACAGCATCCCCCTCTGCCTGGCCCCTACCCATCAAACCACTACTAGATCCATATTCCTGCAACATCACCCGGCATGCTACCATCTAGTCTCACTGTGTAACCCTATCAGGATTGCCGATGACTCCCTAGCCCATCTGTTCATCTCCTGGCTTTCTGTGCTCATGACCTTCTCCTCATTCCTACTCTTGCTCTGTTCTTCACCACCTTTCTAAACCCTGCTCTCCTTAGCTTAAGCTTCACTGCCTCCGTCAGCCTTCTGGGACCACCCTTCCCCAGCCAGCACTCTTTTTCCACTGTTATTTTTTTCCTCCCAGCTAGTTATTAGTCCTCAATGGACCATTTTTAAGACTTCTTTGTAGTCCTCTCCACCCCACCCCTATCTAGTGTAGTGCTAGGCACATAGTGGGCTCTCGGTGAGTCGTGGCTGCTCAGGTGATGGATAATGTGTTTCTCCTCTTCTCTCCAGGTTGATCTGTTCCAGCTACAGGTGAACACTCTACGACGTTATAAACGACACTACAAATTGCAGACCAGACCAGGCTTCAATAAGGCCCAGTTAGCAGAAGTAGGTAGACAAAACTGCGCTCTAAAAAGAGAGCCAGCACTGTGCTTTAGATGGTGCCTTGATTCTCCCTGCTGCTCTCTGTGCCTGTTGATCAGAGTCCCCTCCAGAGCTCTGGAAGCAACTTTCTGCTCCCTCCTTTGCACAATTTAGAATCCCACAGCTTTAGACCTAGAAGGCTCTGATTTTCATAAAATAAACTATGGCATAGAGAGAGGATAAGATTTGCTTAAACTCACACAGCAAATTGTTGTGATTCCAAAATTGAGCCTGGAACCTCAGGACTCCTGATTCTAGGTGTGAGTGTTCTTTTGTTTGTTTGAATCTTGTTTTGCAAGATTCTTTGTGGATATGCTCCTTCCTGCATGTGTCAGATTAATCATCCCAGAACCTTCACTCATTTTCTGTTGGAACTATTTTTCTTTGTTTTTTTCCCTTTGATTTCTTCTACTCTGATGTTGGTAATGGAAATATTTTTTTACAATGAATGGAGCCCAAGAAAGTTTTCTTCTGCCCTGAGTTCTTAACATAGTTTGGAGGGTGGGAAATGCTCATCGGCCATTGTTTTAATATGCTGACAGCCTGTCCTGTTGGCACTTGTGTAAGTTCTCTCTCATCCCTCTTTTCTGCCTATTGTGGAAAGTGGAGAAAAGAAAAGTACAATCCTACCATCCAGAGATAACTACTCTGTAGTTCTTTCTCTGACTCTCCTTTTTCAGGCCTAGCCACTCAGTCTCTTCAGAGATTCCCTTAAAGGCTCACAGGCCCCCTGGTTTTTGTCCTTTAGCAGAATCTTGCTGACCCATTGTTTTTTCTTAAACCTCTCCTTCACTAGCATCCAGATAAAACATAGGCACACACAAGCCTTTTCTACTCTAAGATTGCATCACTCATTGCCAGTATTCACCCCCTGTGGAAGAGACAGGATGAGGTGGGGCAAGAGGAATTATGGGTTCCTAAGACTTGTAAAATAAAGCAAAGTTTCAGGAATAGAGAGTAAAGGGTAAATTTTTCTTTAAATCTGCTGTGTCTTTTAAGATGAATTCTTGGGTCACACACTTACATCTGTTCAATAGGCTATTCATTTGACATAATTTTTTAAAAGACACTTTTCTGCCAAGTTCCAGGGCCTGAGAGGTTATGTTAGCAGATGGCCAACCAGAGCAGTCCCAGTCTTTTTGTCCATAGGGATGACCTCGAGATCATGCCATCATGGGCAGTTGGCTGCCATTAAAATAGAACTGCACCTTGGGAGTGTTGAGAGTTAAAGTGCTGCTTTCGAAAGTCTGGAAACACAATCACCTAAACTCCAGGGAAAGAGGGGCAGTCTGAGTTCCGCAGCTCTACAGGGAGTCCTGTAGTGGATGTAACCCCCTCCCTAGCTCTGGCAGCAACTTCTCGTTCCTCTGTTGCACAGTGTAGAATCTGTGGCCCTGATTTATGCTTTTTTGTGTGTGTGTGTGATGTGTCCCCCGCCTTCCCCTGTAGACTGTCAGTCGACACTTCAGGAACATACCTGTGAATGAAAAAGAGACCCTTGCCTACTTCATCTACATGGTGAAGACTAACAAGAGTAGACTGGACCAGAAATCAGAGGGCGGCAAGCAACTTGAATGAGATGAAGCACATCTTCCAGGAATGAAGTATAATGCTTAATGCACAGGTGATATCTGCTACATTTAAGCCCGTAAAGACTTTAAGTTTTATTATAAATAAAGATGTTTGAATGATAAATACTGTAAATCTTTTTGATCAGGCTTATATTCCTGATTCAGCATGTGTATACAAAGACTTTCTTTTAAGGCAACTACTGGGCTGAAAAAAATAAGATCATAAGAAGAATTAAAGAAAAACCATGTATTGCAGCATTCAAAAAAGCATTAAGTCAGTGCTACTGGAAATGAGGGATAACATATTTTGGTAGCCACCTTGTAATCCCACGCTGCCACATGTGAAACGTAGCCCTGTGATAGCAGTAGGGTACAGGGAGTGGTGGGGGTGCATGAGCAGACCCAAGTGTGCTGGGGACGTGGCTGCCCCACCTTGGTGCAGGCTTGCTCACTTATCAGCAGATCAGTTTGACTCTGGTCCCCCTCACCGGCCCTGGGCATTGCCCACAGTAGGCACTCAATCAGAATTTGTTGCTTATTGATCTGTCACTAACAGTGCAGGCCTTGTAACATCTTCACGCCTCTAGTTAATGAGACCTCGGCCATTTCTGTGGTTACTACCTAACTTCTAGAGTACAGAGGAAATCCTGATGAACCAATGAGAGGTTTCAGATCTAACAAGTACTCCAGGACAGTCACATGTGGCCACGCTGCATTTGTGGAGGTTCCAGAGACAGATGCAGAGACTTGCAGGAGATGTGGCCCTTTGCACACCCCTCTACGCTTCACTCTTTGGGGTGAAGTTATGTATTATGACTTCAGCCAGTCTCTTGGGCCATAAATGCTTTGGCAAATAGACATACGTAGTGGTTTGGGGCTCACGTTTTCAGAAGTACTAATCCATAGTTCACAACCAAGAAAGCTGCCAAGAACCATTTGATTTCTGCCCAGAAGTCCAGCTCTGGGATAGAAAGTCTCACTGGCCTCGGTGCCCTAGGACTGGGGGTCAGCGTTTGAGCAATGAAAGTCAGTGCCATCTGATGCTCATTTTTGTGAGTAATTTGCCTCCCTTTTAGGGAGAAAATTGCTAAAATGATTATTTTAAGTATTAATAATTACCTGATTTTTTTTTTTCATGTTCAAAAACTCAGCTTCCTCTATCTAATTATGTGACAGCCAAAGTATCCTTTGAAAACAAAGCTTTATATCCAAAAGTCTGCTTTTGCAAAATTTTCTAATCAGTGTGTTGGGGCATAGGGTATGGACAGGGAATGGGAGAAAAAGAATGGTGTGTGGATGATAATTTCTGACCATCTTGACATACACTGTGGTCAAAAGTATCATTTTCTTACTCGATTTGAAATCTGAGTTCTTTCTTAAGCCTTAAATTCTAAAAGGAACAGTGGACAGCCTGGCCTAGCAGAGAGTTTAATGTCCCACAGATGGCTTAATCTGAGTACCACCACAAAGAAGTCAGAATGGACATCCCCACTGAGCAAGGTGGTGAGTTCAGTTCCTTGGAGCAGAGAACCACGCTCTCTGTGGACTGCGGACAGGACCACCACTCTCCCTGAGACCCAGTGTGTTCCATTACAGCGAATTTCACCAGTGTTCAAAACATAGGTCTAGCAGATTGCAGCCTTTTAAAATATGTATAAATGAATGTACATAGAACATGCCCTAGACCAGTGGTTCTCAACCTTCCTAATGCTGCGACCGTTTAATACAGTTCCTCATGTTGTGGTGACCCCCAACCATAAAATTATTTTCATTGCTTACTTTATAACTGTAATTTTGCTACTGTTATGTCATAGGCGACCCCTGTGAAAGGTTGAGAACCGCTGCTCTAGACTATGAGGGGTCTGCTTTCATACACCTGGCTGTGGATGACATGTCAGGGTGCTCTGAGAGTTTGTCATTCAGATCCGTATAATTTAGACATTGCCTCACTGCTTATAGCTAAAGGATGTTGATGTAAGCATCAAGAAGGCTCAAAGGTGTGTGGCTTATCTAGGTTTCATTCCTGAGAGGCTGAATTGGAAAGGCTTTGATGGCGTCCAACATCAAGCCCCCCTTATCAGGGGACATTTTTTCTCATCAGACTGGAATTTGGGGGCAGCTGGGCCCGTAGATTAAGGCATTGGAAACCTGCTCTCTGAAAATGTCCCTGTCTTATTAAGAAAGAAGGTGAATTTTTCTGATGTTTAAACCAATGATGGATGTGTGGTCACGTCACTGTTTTTCTAACAGCAAATCTGTTTTCCCAGTTGAGAGAGCTAGTGCATTTCTGTAAGAATATGTGAGGTTCGGATCCATCTGTTCAAGTGTGTCTGTAAGAATGTTTTTATTCCAAAGTGAAGCCTGGGGAAACTCCCCCTTCGGCCAGATGATGTGTGTGCTTGATCGCATGCCGTCCTTCCTCTAGAGAGAGCTACTTTTGGAAAGTGGACATTGTGGGTGTCTTTTTCACCTTTGAAGACAAGTCAGGTGAGAGAAAAGATAAAGCTGTTCAAACTTACTTCTGTCCTGTGTGCAGAAGTCTGCTCTGTCATCAGACCACTAAACCACTTGCCTTAGTCTCCTCTGCAGTTTCCGTGGCTTGATCATGGGCAGGAGGCTGCCTGTGCAAATGGCCAGGCCTTCCAACGCAGCTGGGTCTGGCTTCAGGGAGCAGTGAGTTTGAGAAAGCAGTGTTCATCTTGGCTGCCTGCATCTTTATGCCACCTGCCAAGGACTCTTGCGCTTCTCTCCACCTGTGACATCGCAGCATTGCCTTCTCTCCTCTTGGTGCTCCTGGGCAAAACTGGAATTTGAAATAGAACTCATGTTGTACAGTTCCTGCCTCAGTTCGGGCCTGGTGTGGTTCTTCACATGCCCTGAAGGTTGTCACATGGAAATGCCAATATCCTGCTATTTATGTTGCTTCCTTTTAAGGTTTTTTAAAAAAAACAAACTTCTTATTTCAACAAACAAACTCTTGTGTTGGCAACGGCACCTGAAAATGATCACAACTGAATCCCATGAAACATTAAAACTAAGGATTCAAGACTGGTGGTGTAAAATGAAGAGGAATTTCACTTATGTGTTACAGCCTCCAAGTTGCTGGATGTTCCTGTCATGGCAAAATATTCACTGCTCGCCTTCCAGAGACAGATATTAATGACTGCTTGCAGTTGGAATGTTGCCTCTAACCTTGGCATTTCAGCTGTTTATTTTGTGGGTACTTTTTTGTTAATAGCCTACAGGACAACTGCCCGGTGGAAGGGAGAAGGCAGGGAAAGAAGCTTACTCTGGGGGCCTGGTTTACTGAAATAGGCTGTCCCAACCCAGAGTATTTGCTGCACAGAAACCATCTGAAGGCGCTCAGTCATTACAATGACAAGATCTAAAAGTTGGGAAAGGGGCTTTAAGTCATCCCATCCAGTCTCCATGGGTGCTGACATTCTGCCTGTAGCCGTCCCACCAAGGGTTTGAGCAGTCTGGGCTTAAACACCCTGAGGACAGAGAACTCACTACCTCCTGGGGGTATCTGGTTCTATCTTTGTAAACCTCTGGCTTTTCTATGTTCTCTGTAACTTCCATCTGAGTCTGTCCAGTGGGAATCACATGGAAGAAGTTGCTCATCTTGGCCCAGGACCTTATTGCTAGCACGCTCTGTCCGGGGCATAGCAGTTGTCTTTTGAAAAGGTGCAGCTAGCAAATAGACACTGGTGTCCTAACTCCATCCCCCTGAGTATTGGTGCATTTAGCTCCTTGTTGGAGAATGTTGAGGAAACCCCATCCATCAGCCTGGTTGCACTCACTTGTTCTTGCTGAAGGGTGTCAGCAGAGGCGGGGATACTATTGGCCTGATGAAAAAAACCCAAGACAGAGGATGCCTTAGTTCTGTTCGTCCCACAAAAACTGACACTTATGTCACTTAGGAAAAACCTTAGCTAGAAAGGTTGCTGTGTGTGGAGTTTAAAGTTTCCATGGCTGCTGAAGGCTTGCACCTTAAGATTCCTGCAAGTACCTCACACAGCGTTTTTACCAAGAAAACAGCTTAGGAACTTGGGGGAGTGGGGGGACCACATGCCTCAGTGTCAGAGAAGTGCCATATTTTCGAGCTAGAAAGTCCTATATGAATTATCCAATTCACTTTTAGAGATGGGGAAGCTAAAATTCAAAGTCTTGCCTGAGTCACATGCCTTCTCTGGACTAACCTCTCATCCTGCAGCATGACTCAGTCTAAAGTTACCTGCCTCAGGTTCCTGAGACCTTGCAACTGAGCAGAGGTTCCCAAGACCAACCTGCAGAACTCAAGGTTGAGTGAATGATCAGGAAAGCAATCAGCTGAGTTTCGCAAAACGAATGGGAGGGACAAACAGAACTAGCCTATACTTTAACAAGACTAGGGTTCAGAAGTCCTGGCGGGAGGTTTAGTGTTGTCCTAGAATCTAAATTCTCATGAAGTGGTCTTGCTCTATTATCTGTTGGTCAGACTTCTGCCTTTCGGGCTGTGCTCAGAGCTTGTATGATTCAGTTGGCCCTGAATGGACAGACACAGCTCTGTGGCCTTGTGATTTGCAGCCTTCCAGCCTCTGACTGAACTAGATAGTTGACCTGAAGGACAGGTGAGCTCAAGAACATGCCCTGGGAAGCATGGTGCTTTAGGGGTGCCTTTTTATTCCTTTCATTTTATTACCGACTTTCCAAGTTTCTGGTTAGGAAAGGTAAAGGTGATCTGATGTTTTCAGGTAGACTGGGGCAAGGTGGGACCTTTTCTTAAGGTAGAAATGTCTACAGTCAGTTATTTCACCTAGCTTGCATCTTAAACACAAACCCTTCCGTTGCTTTCATTCAATGAATACATCTTTGCCAATGACAGGGTTGTACGGGATCCCTGTTTTACATTTCCGTTATCCGTTATGCCCATCAGAGTGTTGGGGGGTGGGGGGGTTCTTTCCATTTTGTAACTGCCTTATTGAAAAGCAAGTGCCCTTCCATTTCAGGCCTCTTCATATTGTACATGTTTCCTGCCAAACGTGGGGGATCATTTGTATTTTAATTTTGTAGCCTACGGCTCTGTACTGTTGAAAGACTCTGTGGGGTCTCCTTAGTAATGTATGTGACTTTTCATGTTGCAATATCACACAGATGGGACAGCCCGACTTTCGCTCTTAATAAACGGTCTGAATGAGTAACAAGACACGCTCTGTTGTTCTCTTTGAATGTCCACATGGAATTCGGGTACTTTCACTTTTTCATTTGGGCCCTGGCTACATGGTACAGTGATTGATGACAGTGTCTTTCCTCCCAGCTCCAAGTACTAGCTCCTCCACTCCCACACACCGTCCCAGTGCACACTAGTTTCCATCAGGACAGAAATGTGTGCCCTGGGTCTAGACATGCTCTCCCGCTCACTCACATGGTCCAAGGGCCTGAGTCTGTAGCCTGAATGCTGCATAGCAGACCCAACACCCTGGCAAATAGCTTCACTCTCTGGATCTTCAGTTACCCATCTGTAAAGTCAGAGTCCTAAGTAAACAGGATGAAGAACTGCCGATTAAATTATGCAGGAGGCATGCTGCAAACTGGAAAACTCAGGTTCCTTCTAAGGGCAGCCACTACTCAGCTCCAGCCTGGGGCTATCATGTGGGAATGCCAGTTCTGTATGGCCAGTTCTTGCAGTTTGACAAGGGGAGGTGGAAATATCCCAATAATTATGTAAATATCCCAATAATTAACTACCCCCCAAATTATAACAGTTGGCATATCGTCTTGAGTGCTTGTTAGAAAGTTCTGCCCCCCTCACCTGCCAAGCTGTCTACTGAACCGGAATCCACCTTTTAACAAAGCCCCCAGGAGTGACGAGGTTATCTGACAGTCTTACTGGTGGGGGTCCCCAATGCCCTGTGGGATGACTCCCCCGCCCGGCCGAGCCTCAGGCTCGGGTCTTTCACTCAAATCTGTCACTACACCACCAGCACACCTCTGTCCTCAGCAGAATGAAAGGGAAGAAATGCAATGCCTGTTTTTTTATCATATTGACTAGAAGTAATACATGCTAGCTCTAAAACTATAAACAGCATTACGGCTTACAAAGTGTCCTTCCTTCCTTCCTTCCCACCTCCCCCCCCCCTTTCTACTCCCCTGTCAGTAGTGTGGAGGTAACTTTCCAGGAGGCACTTGGGGACAAGGCAGGTGGATGTCTGCTCTCACGGGAATGGGTGATGGGTTGTTGCTGAAGGCTGCCATCGAGGCCCCGAGTTGCTCTCCTTCAGAAAGCAAAGGAAGTTCCGTTTTCATAGCATGTTGCCTCTTCGTTTGAGGCACAACATAAGTCACTGCTTCCCTCCCATCGGCTGCCTCCCATTTCTTTCATGTCGGACCATCGAGAGCTGCCCCTGTTCTCTAACCCATCACACACTGAACCCCGAGAGGTGCTTGATCCCCAAGTTTCCCCAAACAGGCTGACCCCTGCTGAAGCTGACCTCCTTTGAGGATCCACAGACATCAGCTGTCATGGAAGGATGAACCCACATCTTAATGTACCATTAGAACAGAAGTTTCATTGGGAGCCAGACACCCTTTTTTCAAAATAGACCTTTAGAATACTGAACATCAGATTACCTGAGGCTCAGCTTTTTTGCGACCCCCACCCCCATCAGAATCTCCCAAGAACTCTGTTATAATGCCACTTCCTGGGCCCCCGTCCCAGATTCCCAGAATGGAAAGCTCAGAGGCTGAATTCCAGGAATACAAATTTAATTTCCCCAGGTTAGACTCAAGCCCAAGGAGTGGAGAAGCACTAATCAGATCCAGAGGTTTCCCAATCCAGCAATTTCAACCTCATCTGGATTCTGGTTAAAGGTTCCCAGTGAGACCTACTAAATGAGAATCTCCTCAAGTGGGGCTCAGGAAACTATTTTTACAAAGTCGGGGAGACTTGTATGCACATCCAGGTTTAAAAAGCACTGAGTCCAACCCCCTAAGACCCAGAGAGAAAGTAGCTGTGTTCAACCTCAAACAGCTCAGAAGTGTCGGAGCCTGAGCAAACAGAGTAACACACACCGCCACAAAGACACAACTAAGATGAATCATCCAAATGGATGACCTTCAGTCTGCACGAAATCAGAGTGAAGATCACCCACAGTTTTAGCACAAAGCCTGGCATGTAGGGGACACATTTAATGTCTGAATTGAATCTTCCATTTACAGAGCAGTGTTTTAGTTTATAAGTTATCTTTCCTATCCAGAAATAATAATATCTGTAAGTGCAGTATGTTACTAGTTTTACAGTTAGCATTGATTCATTTGATCTCACTATTATCATATAAAGTAGGAACTGTTATTAACTCCAGTTCACAGAGGTGTAAATGCAGAGAAGCTGAGGAACTTGCCCAAGTAACAATGAGAGGCACTCCCAGGATTGGGACACTTGTCAACCCCACCATCAAATAATGCAGCAATGTCACGCTTTGAAGCAGTGCAGCCCCCACAGTTACCCTTGTCCCCATCAAATGGATTTACTAAACTTTAATGAGGGACTCCTAGAAGCCACTAAGACTATAGTTAGGAAATTTAATAGGGTTTAATGGAGGTTAACAAGGTACATCCAACTTCCCAGCCAGGTTTTAACTTACCAGAGCTGAACAGAGATTAACAAGCCCAGGAGGTGTAAAGGCACCTGCATGATTTAATGGGGTTAATGAAACTGTCAGAGGTTGGCCGAGAGGGACAGAGCTGGAGCATGCCGCTGTTAACAAGTCAATCTGGTTGAAGTCAACAAACATTTATGAAACAGCTGAAGCCTGCCCTGCTCTGCCCTGGGCACCATAAGGGTAGCAAATAAGAGAAGGCCACAACCAACATGCCAACCATGGTTAGTCCTGGTTGGTGGGGTTTAGAGTTTTACTTTCTCCTCTGTGCTTTCTTTGTATTGCCTAAATTGTTTATAATGGGCCTGAGCCTTTTTCACCAAATCTATAAAATAGCAAGGCAATTTTCTTCAGTGCCTTCAAAACATGTACTCTTCGTTTGCATAGTTTGTTACATATTCCTAAAATCTGTAGAAAACAGTATGAGAAGTAAAAAACAACAATAATACAATCTTAAACTTGGGCAGCACTTCATTGCTGTAAAGGGCCATCGCCCACTATCTCCATGGGTGTTGTCACACATGACGAAATAGGGATAGTGGTATACAGGTCACACTGTGAGTGGAGGAGACAAAGCAAATCCTCATCTTCTGCCTCCCAGATGGGCGCTGTTTTTTCACTGAGCACTTACTATGTGGTAGGTCCAGTGTTAAGCACTTCACATACCTCAGGACCCTCTGAATACGATTATTCTCTCTATATTATAGACACGGGAACAGAAGTTTAGAAGGTGAAATGGCTTGTCCAAGGTCACCAGAAAATCGTGGGGATGAGAGTCAAAAACTGGTCTATCTGACCCCAGAATCCACTCTGCCCTGTTGCCTACTAATTGGATAAACTAATTTCTCATAGGAGTAGTATTTAGAACAGGGAAGAACTGGAAACCACCCAAATGCAAATAATAGGGAACTGGTTTTAAAAAGATCATATTATATACTTATAATAACTATTATATATAAACTATATATTACTATAAATACATAAATATATAAGTATATATGTCAAAATTGTAAAATAATATTTAATGACATGTGTCTCAGTTTAGAAATACTAGATATACATACTATAGATGTATACAAATTATATGAATGAGTAAATACAATGTACATATGCGGTTATTGTATACGTACATACTGTGTGTGTATTTGCGACAATGGCCATATCTGTAGGCATATCAAAGCATCTACTTACCAATTCCGAGTATAGCCATACTATATCTGTATCTACAGGATTCCGAGTATGGGTAAAATAGGAAAAAAGAAAAGGAAACAAAAGCTTTCTGAAAACCAAGGGACCTTCCGGAAGAAGAGGCTCCTAAGCAGGCCCCTTACGGACAGGGAAAGTTAGGGTGAGAAGTCCCGTCCAGAGAAGAGAGCCTCGGATGCCAGAGTGAGAAGCTTGAACTTGGGAGTCACCAAACCTACAATAATTAAAAACCAAACCAAACAAAGAAATGTGGTTAAGAAAATGAGTGTCTGCTGTGTGCCGACTGCCTGAGGGAATCTCGAATGTATTCTGTCCTCCAGGAGCCGGAAATCTCAGAGGCGTTAATACCCAGACAGCCGTGGAGAGCACTGCTCACACGGCTGAAAATCCTGGGCTCTGCAAGAGGAGCCCGGCGGAGGAGCCGTGCCTGCGTGCCTGCGTGGCTGCGTGCACGCGTGCGTAATGGGCCCTTGCTGTCTTACAGAACCAATGAGGCTTAGCAAATGTAATGAGCTTAATTAAGGTAAGGTGGCTCAGGACACTTCCTGAGGGCTTCGGGCCACCAGCAAGCTTGGACTCTGCTAAGTGAGCCGTGGGAGGACTCCTGTGCCCAAGCCGACTCCTCTGGGGCTCCTGCTTAGGAGATGCCCTCATGCAGGAGTGGACCGGGCTTCAGGGGTGCAGTCAGCTGGGCAGGGGTCAGACTCAGCCATGTCAACATGCAACAACCCGAAAGTGGAACTGTCTCTAAGGAAGTTTAGCGAAGCCCAGAGAATGAGGACTGAGGGAAGAAGTTACTGACAAGACCCCAGTCTGCCAATAGGGTTTATCTCAACCAGAGGAGGTTGAACTTGGCTGAGCCAATTTTAACAGTTCCAAGGAGGCTCCACCATCTTCAACGGTAAGGGTGTTTTATTTCTGGTTTCTAATACCATTTTCAAATGCATTCTATTCATGTTTCGCTCTAGGAATATTTCCAAAGCTGAATGTGAAAAAGTGGTCAGGATGACATACCTACAGAAATAATAGCTATTGTTTGTTAAATACCTACTAGGTGCTTGACACTCTGCTAGAATATTTTTTCTATTCTGTTACTGTTTCTGGCAGTCATCTTCACACAAACCTTCAGACCTCCCTGTAGACCCTGGCCCCTTCTCTTGTGCTGTCTCTAATTTTCAGAGATAGATGACTTACTGAGGGTCTTATGGTGAGCCAGAATTGGAACCCATGCCAGTCTGACTCCTCTGTGTACCGTGCAACCTCTACCACAGACAGAAGTAGAATAATGACAGTACGGGGGAAATGGCAGGGTAGTAAAAGCTATCAGA